AACTAATGACATTACCTGTGTGGTTCATAGCCATTTATAAGCCTGCCTATGATAATCGTTTGTGTTTATTCTCAGGGTCTGCCATACAAACATTGTTCTGAAGGACCTGATGACATGGTAAGGAAATGATGAAATGCTGTTTAGCTTCATGCCTATGCTGCAGCTCTTATTACAGTTTGTAATGTATGAGGCATAGTCAGGTTTATTGTAGGAGGTTAGGTGTCTTGTCTGAGAAAAGCAGCCAGAAATGCTATACATGATTAGAATGTTGTGCTCTCAGCTGATATTAATATAATTGTTCGCATATATGTCAAACAGGCTTTGGTCAACCACTTTTTATAAGCCTGATAAAGCTTTCTTTGTAGCTCGCCTTTCTGGTGCTATAATCATGCAGCCATGTTTAGCGCTGGTATTGGTCTGGACTGTCACACGTCCCAGTGCAGTGTTTCCGTGCCCCACCGCCGCTGCCGACCGGCCCGCTCGCCGGGTGGCGGCCCCCGTCTGACCGACGGCCCGTGTTTCAGCCGGCGCACGTGAAGGCCTGCTTCCTAGGCTCGTCGCTCACCATTCCCGTCACCGACGGCCGGCTAAACGTCGGCACCTGGCAGGTACGGGGCCACTCAGTGTCGACGGACTGCGGCGCCGCTGCGGCTCCAGTGATGTCAGTGGTGTCCCTGTATTAGATCATCCACAATAATACGGACCCCAGTCCTTGAGTCAATGTCTATATTTAGCAAGCAGATTTGCGGAGACTTAATCGCGAAGCTCTCGGCAACGGTGATTTTCTCTTGATTCTCGCTTACGAATGTTGTTTAGTATTTACCCGTTTTTATTTACGAGACAACCTAGCTGTGCTGCAGATACCCACTGACCGTGCGATTGAGAGTGAGTTTCAGCGTACGTGTGTGGTGTTTGGCGCTTTCCCTGTGGGCGTGTGTCTGACGCTCTCTGCCCGCGCGCCGGCAGGGCGTCTGGCTGTGCGAACACCGTAACGAGGCCGGCTCGCGGAAGCTGGTGGTGACGATAAACGGGTGTCTGCGCGAGGCGGACGGCCGGACGCCGAGCTCGCCACTCTCGCCGCTGGCGTCGACCAGCAGCAGCTAGACGCCACTCGACAGCCGCCCGCCGGCTCCGACTGTAGTGGATATTCCATAACGCCCGACCGGCGCCGCCAGCCTGCCTGCCGCCGCCGCCGCCGCCGCCGCCTGATCGTGTCCGTCCGGCCGGCGCGGGGCAAACCGAGCGGACGCTGCCAGCCCCCGGCGGCTCGCGGGACGCTGCACTGCAATAAGGCGCCCGTGGGCGGCCTCCCGACCCTCACAGACGAGCACAGGCACCGACACGACACGCGCACAGACACCCACGGACAGGCACCGCGCCGACGGAGCCGGTGCCCGCCGCGCCGCGCCCCGGCGGTGACGGCGGGTGCATATCAGGCCGGCCGGGTCTGGCGCGCCGGCCTGCCCCCACCCGCCCCCGCCCCCCCCCCGCCCGCCAGCGCTGCCGCCCAGACGCCGCCGCCGCCGGTCACTTTGGTTTGCTCAAACAGTGTACATAGAGCGATCGCGCGCGCGCGAGAGACGACGGGATGCCGAGGCGGCGGGCGCGCCGGCCGCTAGTGAACGGCGGACGCGCGGCACGCGGCCACACTGCGCACCGTCACGCATAGATCATTAACTATTTTATATTTGTACCTGTTAACATAGTTGTTTTGCTCGTATTCAAAGTTTATGAGCGCCGCGCGCGTTGCGTCGCTCCTCGGCCGTCGGTGTCTTCCATGTGGGCGGCCGCGGCCGCCAGAGGGGGCGGCACCGGTCCCCGGCGCCGCACGGATCGCTCTTCCCTCCCCGGTACTTCCTGATCTCCCCCCCTCCCCTCCCTGATCTTGTAACCCCCTCACTGGTCGGGCTGGTATGGTCAGGCTCTATTTGCTCTTCGTCCAACTGAACTGGGCCTTTCTGACCGGCCTGCCAGGCTTTGTGGCAAGCAGAGCACACGTCCTCCTTGGAGTGGCTTGATGCTGCCCACACTGGCACTGAAGTAGGTCGTCGGCCCTTCACTCCGACCCTGCCTGTTCCTCCTCTCGCAGGAACGGCCTGGCTCCCACGCTGTCCTGTCCCCTCCCCCCCCCCCTCCCGGCCCGGCCGCCGCCGTTCCAGGGGGCCGACCGACAGCCGGCCGCTCCCGGGGTAGGGTCAGCTTCGCTTCGAGTGGGATGTCGCCGGCTCGGTGGCTCCTATATGCATTACACTAATTGTGCGCGTGGTAGGGGGCGTGCATGCGGCCATTGACATACCAGCGAACGAGTGCAATTACGCCGAATAGCGTGGCCGCGCGATTGTGCAGTTTTCGGGCGGTGCTCTCCGTTTCCATTTCTTCTTCACGTGTCTTGCCGCCGCGCGCGCGGTGCTGCCCCGCCGCGGTGTCGGCGAGTTTCGCACAAGCCTGTTTAGGGGAGCGCGTGTGGGTGTGAGTGCGCCCTGTCCGCCGCCGGCCGGCCCGATGGGTGTGATTGCGCGCGCCCGTCTGGCGCCAGTACGGGTGGGGGCGCGGCCCCCGCGACCCGCGGCTCGGCCCGCCCGGTCACTGTGTCGCACCGCCGCGCACCCGCGGCGACACGCACCGGCCTTGGCGCCCGCTGGTAGACGGTAGTCTTCCCACTCCCGCGCGCGGGCCGCGCCGGCGTGCCGCGGCGCCGCGTTTGTCTACTGCCGACCGCCGGCTGCCTCGTCGTTCGGACGGAGCCCGGCTTCCCGTCCCGAGCCGTGCCGCTCGGCCGCGCGCGTCGAGCCTCGTCCTTCGGCGCCGCGGCCGACGGCGGCTCGGACGGCTAGTTCGCTTCACACTTCAAAATGCCCATCGGTTTGTCTGCTGCCGTGCGTTCCGGCATCTTCCTTATCATGTCTTTTCACGTTCCTAAGTCGCGGGCTGGCAGGGTAGCGAAAAAGTGATTCGGCCCAGAAGCGTTCTACCCGCAACGTTGAGGATACGCGAATCTGTCACGCCTCTGCTTCTCCGACTTAATCAACATCTTCCACCTAAGAAATCGTGGCTTCGTTGGTGACCTGCCGAACTGCGCGCCTGCCTGGACCTCCAGCTGACGGGAGTGGCCCCATTCCGCCGGTCCGCCCCGCCGTCGTCCACGGACGGGGCGGCGCCGCCGTCCGCCCGCCCGACAGTGATACGGCGCCGCGCTACACCCAGCTCGTTGACAAATATGGGTTCACAGTTTATTGGACACTTTTTGCATCTTTGCGTATCGTGAAGTGATATGAATGTGTTGTATTATATAATGATGGGCTAAGAATTACAATAATACATTGTTGATTCATAGTTGCGCTGTGTTTCACGGCTCCGGCTCGCCTGGTTGGGGCTGAAAGCTAGGCCATGCCTCTCTTCAAGGACCAAGGAGGCGTGTTACGTAGACGCCAGGCAGCGTTCTCAGCTTCAAAAGATGTCTTTACGAACTTGAAATCTGGACTGGACCAAAGCCTGCTCAATGAGCTGATGTGGTATTAGCATCTTTCTTGGAACGACAGAGGAGCTCGACCGATTCGGCTTTCTCTTCAGCATCCGTTGAAAGACCCAGAAAGACCCCAATCTCTTTACGTTTGTAGTTAGCACGGTGTCCACTGTTCAGCCCTGGTCCAGCTCATCGTCAGGTTTACATAGCCTTGGCACAGCCAAGACTCTTCAAGATATAAGACTCCAGGGTCCAGCCAAACCCACGGTATAAAGAGAACTTTGGCGAAATCCAAAGCAAAACTCAAGCAAGCTCAAGATTACTTTACTAATAAGCAAGCTGACCACGAAGGGTTCCCTTCATATAGGTGGAAAATATGGCAGCTTTCTAGATTTGGAAGGAATAAAACTTGGATGCGGATCCTGCGCACCTGCTTCAATTGCGATCTTTCACACAGGCAGGCTCAAGGCAGTATAGCAGGCTTGCGTGCGCCCTATATACCGTGCGTGCGCCGTGCGGGTTACGCTATTTTTATATTTTTCTCATTTATTGATCAAACCAGGATCAAACATATTTTTCAAATTTCCCACAAGATTATTACAGGTAGTTTCTCCGTGCTTTTTGAGGAATGAGGATCATATTTTCACACACCTCACCTCACTCTTACGTCGCCCTGGTACTGAGAACAAATGCTGCAACAAATGCTGGTAATGAGAACAAATGCTGCAACAAATGCTGGTAATGAGAACAAATGCTGAGAAATGCTGAGGACAAAGCAAAACTTTGCCTCCATTAAATCATTGCAAATTTACCTGTGTGTCACTGTCCCACCAACATTTTCATGCTTGATTTTTCAAGAAAATACAGCCCAATCTGAATTGCTGATTAGTTGCTGTTTTTATTGGCATGCTGGGCTGGAGGGTTTCCTTTACAAGGAAGGTCAAGCTGGCACTTCTCATTTCATACTCTTGCTGTTCAACAGCACAGATCTCAAGCATTTGACAAATAGGCCAAGAAATAACCGTGGCTGTCAGTCTGCCGACAAGACAGCTCCTGAACAGCACTCATGAGAGAGAAGCTATGATGTTGATTTCACAGTATATATCAATAAAAGTACAATTTCAATGTTGTGATTCAATGTTGATACTGTATCACCCCACTGTTCTGTTGACAGCATTACAGGGGGCAAATGCCCCCTCAGGTGTAAAAGGTCCCATAGGCCTGACAGGTCCTAAGGTGTCAATCGGCTTCTTAGGGTGGTTCCAAATCGGATAGTCGAATATGGTCTTACAGAAATAGTATTAGTATCTTACTTGATGCTAAAAGTACTTATGTCATCGATTATATGCCTGTCCCTTTCAATATGAATATCACAATAGTGGCAATAGCCTATTATGAAGTGACCACTGGCCAGATAGTAATGCTAATGTTCTTTAATCTGTGACATCTGTGGCATGTCCCATCTACCACCTTGTTCACTTTCCTTTCACTTACACTCTTCCTCTGCTGCTTATATTGAAGTGAGTGAGAATTTCACTACCTATTGATTATGTAATTTGATCATTTCAACTCTTTTTGTCTCTCCAGGTGATAGCTTGATCAGTTAGCTGTTGCTGAAAATGGCAGATCAGCAAGATCACCTTCTGTACCTCAATCCAGAGCCTATTCGATTTGAAGCTGTCAACAAAGTGACAGCAGTCTTTTTTGATGAAGCAAACAAACAGGTAATTATACAAGCTACTGTCTTCAGTATAACATGCTAAGCACCCATTCAGGCCTTCTCCTTAAGTTTTCATTTAAATGATGACTAAATCAGAACATCAGAACAAACCACTCTAGAAGTTATTGAGCCAAAAACACCCCAGCATTCAGCAGGTATCTTTTTATGTTATTCAGCAATCAGCTGCCAATTAATGTCACCCTATTGACAGTGCTATTACTGCAGTAGGTGTTTTGGACGGTCACATCCCCCTTTGCTGCCAATCAGCGCCAGCCGGCCGCGGTCGTTTCAGATATTCTCGGTGCGCTCGGGCGGCGCCACGGGCGTGGTGGTGAAGAGTCTGGACCCCGCCAGGAACACCAGTTTCCGCATGGAGGACCGCGGCCCGGTCATCTCCATCAAATACTCGCCGGACATGAAGGTGCTGGCCATCCAAAGGGCCAAAACGTCCGTGGTAAGACCCAACGTGATTTCGTCTTTGGCGAGGTTTGTGATTACAAATTCCAGCTGTGTTATCCCCTCTGCTGGTATGACAGTTGAACTATTTAGAAAGCTGAGTTGCTTATAGTTTTTAGTACAAGCACGCCTCGTCGCCTATATGCCAGTGTAGGCTCTCTGGTTAAGGAAGTGGGTATATTTTGCTGGGTGCTCGCCACAGTTCCACCCTCAAGTACCGTCAGCTGACCGCGCAGGCCGCCCTGCGAGGCAGCCTCCGCCGCGGTGCCGCTCGGTCACGTGACGATCACGGCCGGCCGCCTCGTTGGCAGGAGTTTGTGAACCGCGACTCGGAGGCCGAGTACTCGCAGAGCTGCCGCAGCAAGAGCGCCACGATCGTGGACTTTTTCTGGGTGGCCGACTCAGAAGTGGTGTACGTCACCGACCGCGGCGTCGAGCACTACCAGGTGGGGCCGGCCGTCTGCCTGATAGCGGGAAACTAGTCTGAGTTCATCGCGTATTACACGTGAGAGTATCTTCATTGCTATTGGCCGCTCCATCTGGTCTGCCCCAGACATTTGACCACTGACTCTTCCTTGCCGCCCTCCGGTCTCCGACCTGACCTGACCTGCCCGCTGTGCCCGCTCCCCCGGCCGCCCAGGTGGTGCCGTCGCGGCGGCAGCTGAAGTCGCTGAAGACGTGCAGCTTGTCGTCCAACTGGTGTGTGTTCTCCGCGGAACTGTCCTACCTGCTGGTGTCCACCGGCGCGCTCGGCAATACGCTGCAGCCGTTCGCGTTCCGGGCCGCCGGCACCATGACCAAGTTGGCCAAATTCGACGGTGAGCGGGGCCGGGGTGGCGGCGGGGCGCTGAGGTCCGGGGAGGGCAGGGGGAGAGGGGTGGTCAGTGTGCCGGTGTGGTCAGCAGGGCGGGATGGGAGGGGGTGTGTCTGGCACTACCTGGCACTGGTTTGTTGAAATAATTGGTAGCTAGGGGTTTTGTACTGAGGGTTTAATGTTCCACTCAACATTGAAATATTCGGAAGGGAAGGAAAATGATTTTAACAGTAAAGGAATGCATATAAATTTTAGTCTGCTAGCTTGCGATCTGTGATCAGGAGCGGGAGAAGCTGAGCTAATGCGCGGTGTTGGTGTCTGCAGTCGTCAGACATTAATTTTCATACCCGGTTTTTATCCCCCCGTCCGCCGCGCACTGGAGTTGCTGGTATTACCGTCCCCCCCCCCCCGTTCTCTCCCGTCCGCCCTGGCAGTGGAGCTGCTGGAGGCGCCGCGGCCGGCGCGCCTGGCGCTCCACTGCCACGATGTCACCGTGTGCAGTCTGCACGGCCAGCTGACGGTGCTGGCGCTACTGCACGCGCCGCCCGGCTCGGCCGCAGACGCCGCCGGTCAACCCGCAGAGATCCGCGTCCACCAGGCCAACAAGTGGGGTCCCGAGTCCCGACCACAGTGGAGGGGAGTGGGCCAACAAGTAGGTCCCAACCACGCCACGCAGCGTTGAGCCAATGGATCCGAACTACACCGTGGAGCATCATGGTCCGACATATATTGTGTATGCATATCTTTGCTGTTTGCTCAACTGTAATGTCGCCAAATGGTAGTACGGGGACCCGCAGTTGCTACTTTACACGAACCCCAACTCTAACCGTCTGTCCTGTCCAGTAACAACCGATAACATTGATATCGACTGCCGGTTCCGGACTGCCGGAATGCTGGTTTAAGAGCAGCTGAGGTTTTATGTGCGTGTCCTCTGACAGCTTATCGTTGTTCCCTGTGAGGGTGCTGGGACAGTTTACTCAGGGTCACTGTACAGTAGCAACTGCGGCCGCGGGTCCCCGTACGTGCACCATGCTAACATAGCCCCCCCCCCCTCTACTCGGCAGAGACGGCAGCATTTCGCGTACGAGCACCCTGCAGCTGAACGCACGGGGCAATTTCGCCATATCGATCATAGACAACCTTGTCATCGTGCACCACCAGGAGTCCAAGGTAGGCACAGGAGTTCAAGATTAGGTACAGATGTCCAAGGTAGGCGCAGGAGTCCAAGGTAGGCACAGGAGTCCAAGGTGGGAACAAGAGTCCCGACTTAGGCACAGGAGTCCAAGGGCCGCGCCGTCCGCGCCGTCCTCTCAGGCTCTCACCCCCTCTCCGCTCTTGGCAGACCTCCCAGGTGTTCGACATCACGCTGCCGCCCGCCGGAGACGCCGCCGGCGTGGCGGCCCCGCTGCAGCGCCCGGTGGCGCCGCCGGCCGCCATCCGACCGTTCCACCTGCGGCTGAGCGCCGGCGCCGCCGCGCTGGATGCCGACGAGCCTGCGCAGCTCGCCTGCGAGCTCTGTATCCTCTGAGAGAGAGCGGCCGGGACGAGCGGTCCTCTGAGAGGGACGGGGACGAGCGCCAGGGGCTGTGGCGTCCTCATGGGATCGGTGGCTGGGGGTTTGTGCCTTCTGACCTGCTGAATGTGTGATTCAACACCGCTGACGTTATTAGAGTATAGGATCAGTGCTGATTTTTTTTTTCACAATTTATCGCGGACTACGTGAACCCGGATTTCGGTATAGTTTTCCGTTTTAGTACATGTCTTGTGATAGTTCCTTAACCAGCGCCCCGCAGACGCGGCCACCTGGGTGGTGTTCCAGCCCAACATCATCATCGACGCCAAGCTGGGCTGTTTCTGGACGCTGGAGCTGTGCGCGGCGGCGATCCCCGGCGCGCTGCCGGACCCGGTGGCGGCGGCGCGGCTGTTACTGGCGCGCGCCGCCGGCCGGCCCGTGCTGCTGCGCCTGCTGCGCCGGCTGCTGCTGCGCCAGACGGAGCGCGCCCGGCTGGCGGACGTGGGCGGCGTGCTGGACCTACTGAACGAGCAGACCCGGCGGCAGCAGGAGCACACCGTCAGCTCGCAGGTGGGCAGAGCGGCGGGCTGCGGCCGGCTGGGCAGAGGGGCGGGCTGCGGCCGGCGGGGCAGAGCGGCGCGCTGCGGCCGGCTGGGATGGCCGGGCCGGGTGCAGTGGTTTTCAATGTTTTTTCTAGAATGTTTTGTTCGCCTCGCGAGGTTTTTTGCCACGTAGTTGACTGTATTATGGCATTTGCTAGTCGCCGATTGTGTGCTCTGTCCTATAGGAACAAGGGAGACGCATTCACAAATCACAGACACAGATTGCGTGCTATTTTTGACTGCGGTACGACCGCGACTGCGCCGCTAAGTGCTCTCCTGTTGCGCTCTCGTCCCGTTGACCGGTGCCGCTCCGGCCGTCAGATGGGCTCGCCGGTCTCGGCGCTGGGCACCTCGCCGCCGGTGGCGCCCACAGAGCCGGCGCCGTTTGTCATCACCCAGTCGGACCTGCACTCGGAGGTGCTTTGCGACCTGGTCAGCCAGCAGATGGGCAGTCGCGCCGACCAGCGCTGGGTCACCGGCGTCCTGGTCGAGTGTGTCAGGTACCGTCACGGACAGGACAGGGGGGGGGGGGGTCGGGTGTGTCAGGTACCGGCAGGGGCAGGTCGGGGAGGAGGGTCGAGTGTGCCAGGTGCCGTCTTGGGCAGAGCAGGGTGGAGGGGGAGGAGGGGGGGGGGTCGGAGATGCTTCGAGGTGTGGTGAAATGCATTGATGTGCCGAGAGTTTCGAGTTTTGTGCGGCCCTTGAAGTAGATCGCTCTTTATCGGCGCTACTGGCTTGTATGTGCGATAGATTAATATCGACATGAGTTTGTTGACGTCTAGTATTAGATGCTCCAGCCCCCCTGCTGAGTGGTGACACTGAGTTGTAACACTGCCGTGTCAGGTCGCTGACGCAGCACGGTGTGTCGGTGGAACACTTTCTGTACGAGATGCTGATCAACACGCTGGTGCTGCGCGGCTGCTTCTATCAGCTCCAGCAGCTACTGCAGTACCACGCCGTCGACGACAGCAAGCCGCTCGCCTGCCTGCTGCTCTCACTGCAGGTCAGTCGGGTGGGAGAGAGAGAGCGAGAGAGAGAGAGAGAGAGAGAGAGAGAGAGAGAGAGAGAGAGAGAGAGAGAGAGAGAGAGAGAGAGAGAGAGAGAGAGAGAGAGAGAGAGAGAGAGAGAGAGAGAGAGAGAGAGAGAGAGAGAGAGAGAGAGAGAGAGAGAGAGAGAGCGAGAGAGCGAGCGAGTATGTATCGATTGAAATGTGTGAGAATAAATGTCGTCAGTGAGTACCAAGTGGTTGCGCTCGGAGTGTGGATTTGGATGGTCCTGTGCTTGCCATCGCCCCCACCCCGTATTCCGTGTGTATCTGGGCTCTACTGGCAGCGCCTCCCCGGCCGTTCTCAGACTTATAGTGTGTATCTGAAGAGTTCCACCAGCTAAACTACCCCTCCCCTGTGTCAGAGCGTGTACCCGGCGGCGGAGCAGATGGCCCTGGACATGCTGAAGCGGCTCGGAAACGCCAACGAAGAGATCATCGAGGTCATGCTGGCCAGGAACGACGTCACGGCCGCCCTCAGGTGCGTACCCACATCTCATAATGCCAGCTGGGGACAGGTGGCACGTCTCGGCGATACACATTTAATACAATAAATACGATATGTATTTATTTACCAGGCCATGCCCAGTTGGTACCTGAGACGGGTAATTTTGGAATTTAGTTTTTTTCGCCTTAAAAAACAACAAAATTAAAGGAATGACACGTCTTCCCACTCCCAGGACCCAGTATGGCTGGGTGGCAGGCGTCCCCTGAGTGACGCGCCCCTCCCCGTGTCGGCAGGTACGCCAGGGCTAATGAGATGGTGTCCGGTCTGTCGGCGCGGAAAATTCTGGACGTGGCCATGAACTCAGGCGACCCGGACCTCTTCTACACCACGTTCAAGTTCTTCGAGGAGAGGAACTACCGGACCAAGGGGAAGGTGGACTTTGCGCCTGGTGAGTGGCCGGACTGTTGGGGGACATTGCTCTGTTACTGGACTACCATCATATTCTGTTTGAATGCTCCATTTATACCAGGAACCCCCTGTGACCTGTGGCTGACCCGTCTGTCCGCTCCGGTTCTCAGGCGAACACTGCGAACTGTACGTGCGCCACTTTAACCAGCTGTTCGGCGTCACCTCGAGCCTGCGAGACGCGCTCGAGGCCGGCCAGCGGCGCGACGAGGGCGTCCTCTGACAGCGGATGGCCGAGAGCGGCCTCCTCTGAGCGGCCGCTCTGCCAGAGGCTGTACCGCGGGGCTGCGGCTGTACCCCGGCGGGCCCAGTCAGACGGCAGCTGCCGCGGTACAGCGGGTACTCGGACCCAGTACAAGGAGGGAGCCGTGGGCACGCTGGTGTGCCTCTGCTGTGGGGAACCGAGTCCAGTGCCTCGTTCCATAAAGCGAGTCCGTAACTTACGCCGGTTTTTGGTCTTGTATTGCAAGTGCATGTGAAGCGATAAATTTATTTCCCCTTCTCCCTTCTGTTCTTGCTTACAAGATAAATAAATTCAACGATTTAAACTAACGCCATCGCTTCACATGCACTTGCAATACAAGCCCAAAAACCGGCGTAAGTTACGGACTCGCTTTATGAAACGAGGCCCTGGGCGGCCCCTGGCCATCGTCCGGCGCGGCGCGGATAGCGTTATTGACGACATTCCCCTAAAATTGTTACCGTACTCTGGGCGGCGGTGCTAACTCAATTAACTTATCGGGATAGCCACATTCCAGTTCGGGTTCGAGCCTAAGTGACCCCACCCTTGGGATCGAACCCGCTGAAGAGGATGTTACAGTCCTTCGTGGCTTTGATTATTATACACTGGGTAATGTGTTGAGGTGTTATATTATCTGTATGTATTGCCAGACTCGCGTGCCTATATTGTGACGACCCGCGCGTGTACCCTCGGGCTTTCATTGAGGTGACGCTTTGTGTCCTGGCTCGCCCACCGCGGCTGATGCCAATGAGGCGCGTGTCATCAATATATTTGCCAACTGACGTGATTTTAGGCAACTTGTTTAAAAATGTATCGAAAATGCGTGGGCCAAATTGAGTACAAAGTGGTATGAAACCCATGATGTCAGATGTGTGACCGAGTGCACAAGACATTGATCTACGCAACTAATCTCCCTATCAACCCTTCTCTTCCCGCCACTACCGACACTCGACCGTCAGATAAAAACCCTCACGTCCTCCGCGAACCATCCGAATGTATATTAAAAGTTCACAGTGTCGCTGGCGCTACCGACCGGCAGCTGGTCACATGTCTCCCGCCCAGCCGCCGTGCTCCTGGTTCTTGGCGCTCAGCTTCTTCCGGATGGTGTCTGTGAGCGTCTGCGCCCGGAAGCTGATGTGCTTGGTCTTCTCGATGAGCTGCTGGTAGGGCGACACGGCCTGCTGGCCCATGATGACGTGGCCCTGCGCAGAGTCTATCTTGGCGTCCAGGTGCGCCTGCCGGATCAGGTTAACGATCCACCGCTCCGCCTCCTTGGGGTCCATGTTCAGCTTCTGCGCCAGCATGTTGATGCTGATCACCTGGTGGATCCGGCAGAACGTCTCGAACGTCATCAGCCGCGCGTTCTCGATGAAGTCGGCCGGGCAGGAGACGGTGAAGAAGTCGTTGGCCAGCACGGCCTCGCAGGCCTCCAGCTTGTGCTGCGCGCCGTCAAAGTCGAAGTTGACGTAGAGGCACTCGATGAACTCTGTGATGGGGTCGCGGTACGAGTACGACTCCTGCTGGATGACCTTGACGAGGTCCTTGAGCGCGTTGGGCCGGTTCTGGCGGCTCATGACCACGGCCGTGGCCAGGTAGCGCAGGATGTGCGGGCACATGGTCTGGATGGTGTTTAGGTAGTTGGGCTGGTAGAGGAACATGTCGATCAGCAGCTCGTAGCCCTTGGGCGCGTTGAAGAACACGAACAGGCTCCAGTGGATGAGCCAGCAGCGCTGCGTCAGCGCCTGGGCGTCACTGCTGAACGGGTGGTTGTCGATGTACTCCTTGAGCCGGTTCATGTCCTCCACGGCCGCCTCCCAGTGCTGCATCAGAATCTCCGACGAGAACTTGCCCCACAGGCTGTTCAGGTAGTTTTTGTCGTTGGTGGGCACCAGCACCTTATGCAGGTACAGACACTCCGCGGCGCGGCCGTAGTTGCCCACCTCGTAGTTGAACTTGGCCAGCCTGTACAGCGTGTCCATCATCTCCACCTTGAAGTTGAACCGCTCCACCAGGAAGTCGACTAGCTGCTTCGAGTCGCGCGATACCTGGATCTGCTTTTTCACCTCCTCGTCGTGGAGGATGGCGAAGATGGGCTTCGTCTCCAGATTGAGTTCGTTCCACTCCTGGATGACCTCGCTGCGGCGGTCGTTGATCTCGGCCGGCACCTCGCGGTCCGGGTACACCAGCTCCAGGATATCGATGTTGTAGTCCACCATGTTGGAGCCCTTGAGCAGCTCGAGCCGGCACTTGTTGATGTCGGTCTCGTCATAGACCTCGAGCCGGGAGAGGAACTCCAGCAGCGGAAACACCATGTGCCGGTCCAGGTAGGACGCCACCGTCATCGACAGGTCGTACTCGGTCATTGTGAACCGCTATCTGGGAGCCGAGGCTTCAGTAATACCTGCCGGGCGAAAACGTGTTGTGTTAATGACAAAGTCAAACCATATCATCACAGGAAGACCAATGATCAGTTGTGACGAATCTAACAGAATCATTTATAAGGAAACCATTGGGCAAAACAGTTTATTTTACTTCTGCAAACATCCTACTGTGAAAAAAAAAAACAATGCTTCAATGAATGATTATGGGCCCAAATTCGCGCTCGACTGTTCAATGCCAGGATGCCAACAAACATTCATGTAAGACCACAGAATTGATCGAACAGTGTTTATCAGCGTATAGGATAAGGGAAATTGCACTTTCTCCTGTTTACAGTCCGATTCTGTCAACTAGTGCAGCTACGAAGTGACGCATGCAATCGACACGCTGGTCACAATATCAACCAGCAATGGAGTTGCATGCCGACCCGTGCTGGCTTTCGTTGTTTTACGGGTCTCCCGAAAGTGGCTGAAAGCCGCTTTTGATTGAACTCTTCCCGGAAAACACGACGGGCCAGGGGTGCGGAGCCGGAGCCGGAGCCGGGCCGGCACATTTTGCCCGGAGCCGGAGCCGTCAAAGACTCCGGCGCTTTTTAAGAGGAAAAATCAATTTATCTAGTTCGGTTTGACAGTACAAGACAGTAAAACATGTGGTACCTACGTCATCACGTGAATGAAAAAAGCTGAACACGTATTACCAGTGTCCCACAGTACGCTATCAACCTCCTGTCTGCAGTCCTCCCTCCCCACGTCTACTGTATCCCCAGAACCTGAGGACCGGTCATCAGGTGATAGCCATTGTTTTGGCCACCCGTCTTTATGTAATTGATCGCATAGGAAATGTACTGAGTTGGAGCCGGAGCCGGACCATTTTATTCGGAGCCGAAGCCGGAGCCGCAATGACATTTCACCCGGAGCCGGAGCAGTTTTTTTTTCTTCAGAGCCGGAGCCGTCTGAAAATTTTACGGCTCCGCATCCCTACTACGGGCATGTTCGATCAAATTTACAGCCAGACTGGCTGCAAAAAAATGATGCCTATACCTAATACCATTGTTGCGTTGTCTTTCATGCCTGAAGTAGAAGAACCTCCATACCTACACATGGCGCGACCTTTCGCTCCCAGCAGCTTTGGTTTCCAAAAACAAACCCGTTTATGGCCATTGATTTCACGGCATGCATTCCTTGTTTTGCTAGAAAGTCACCACAGTAGCACTGTGGTACTGATTTTTTTTTAGCACCACACAAAGCTGAATGAGTAGACCTGAAGCTGACTAAGTAAACAGTGGCTAAAAATGCCTCACACAACATGCTACACATCTTGTCTTCTCTGCTGATGGAGCACTGTTACCTTCTGACATACACACAGCTTTTTTAGCTGCTGAAAGGGCAGAATATCTTAACTGGACATCCATGAGACAAAAAAATGTTTTGACCAGTTTTTGTTTGAATTAGTTATGACTTTTGACTGCCTTGTGGCAATGCAACCACATTTTCAGCTAATCCAGGCCAGAAGCCCCAAATCAAAACTTTGCCAAAGAAAAGGTGGTGAAAAATACTGATATTTTGTATCAAGCCCTAGTCAGTCTTTTGGCTGGTGGATGAGTAGATTGGTGGCATTTTTTGACCATGCAATGGCAGATACCTGCTTCACAGCTGGAGAGTGTCTAGTGTTGCCGCAACAGGGCTTGTCAACTTGCCTTTGCAGTTTGCTGGCCTTTATTTCTGATATAACTAGCTTCAAATTATTTTTAACTGCTCTAAGATGTGCTGCACAAGCTAACCAGCAAAACGGCCCCAAAGCCGGGTCACAAGATTAAAAATGGAATTGATTCAGAGCATTGCCTTTTGGCAGCCCAGGCTAAAAATGAAAGGGACTAGATATCAAGTACCTTCTCTTACTTAACTTACTGACTTAAGAAAAATATCTGAAATCATGACTAGTCACTGACAAGTGACAGCACACAGTACTCAAGCTTAAGAGCTGAGGGATGTCCTATAAATGCATAATGCCTGTATTGGTACCTATCCTCCCCGTGGCCTAGTGGATAAGGCGTCCATCTCCTAACTTGGAGGCAGCGAGTTCGTGGCCGAGAAGCTTCACATCGTTTGACCCATGTTCCTAAATTTGTCAATTCTGGGCCACCCTGCATAAAAAATGATAATAGGTATTTCGAGTACCAGTTAATTAAATGGGTGGGCAATAACATGCATATTATGGAAAATGCGCCGCGGGAAAGGATTAACAATAATCTGTCCAGATGGGCCCACCACATTTAACCTTTAATATATAACTGATGTGGCAAGTCATTGAAACATAAATTTTACAAATGAGCCATGTCATTATTTCACTAGAACTTAAAAAATTCAATGTCTTACTTTGATAAAATAATAAATATTCAACATATACCTATACCCCACAACACACACACCACCGCCGCTCTCCCCAGTGGCCACGCCGAAAGGCAATTAAGTGTGTCTTAGAGACTAATCTCATTTACTGACGTCACCATAATTTGGGCTCGTACATTGAAGTAAATGCCGATCTTGCTGCTTGAGGTTTTCGGTAAATGCAGTTATAACAAATAATTTTGTTAGGAAATTTATTTTTGAGGCACCAGTAATCCTCTTTTCATGTTAATGCCTGAAAACATCCAGAGCCATTTCAAGTATTTGCAGATTTTGTGACGTAGGTGCTAGAATTCTATCTAAAAGATTTCTTTCATCTTTGGTTGATTTGTTATTGCGCCAATATCGCAACAGATACCGCATAGTTTTTTAATTAATATGAAAGACTCCAACCAATTTCATACTGATAAACAAGGGATTTCCAAGGAACAGTTAAGCACAAAAAAAATCATGAAATAAATTTTGTTTTTTTGCATAAATCAATTAAAATTTTTCCTCATTTGAAGTGAAATAAAATAATGTTGAGGTTTTTATTCAATTGTTGACGCAGATGAAAAACGGCGCAAATAACATAAACAACAGCTGCTCGCCGCTGCTTTCACTCTGACTCTGAGGGGACGTGTGATTATTGCACTAGTTATTGAAGTATTATTGCTCCGCATTGCTTCAACTCTGATACGAAAGCTTTATACAGAGTTATGACAAAATGGGAATGATGCTGACTCATAGGATTCCACATGGAAATGGAAGGCACCCAGTTGTCCACCGGCACAGGAGAAGTGATCATGGTGAGTCGAAACTTGAAGTTGAATTGAAGAATTAATCAAGTTAGAAAGGGATGGAGAGTGGTCGATTTATCAGGCTTCAGTCATTGATGTTTGTAGCTATTTTAGTTTCATTTTGATAAGATTTTTCTGGGACATGTTACTGCTGAAATGTGTTTTCTGTCATGACAAATTACCATTCCATGTATCTCTCAGAGGTTCGACATCTGGGCACAATGCAGCTC